TGCAATGGCCATATATGGGTTCCATCTGCTTTGTGATCTGCAGCTGCAATGGCCAAATATGGGTTCCATCTACATTGTGATCTGCACCTGCAATGGCCATGTATGGGTTCCATCTACTTCCGGGCTTTAGACACTACTTCAGGGTTAGACACTACTTTTAACACTGCCTAATCACAGTGTTGTAATCAAATAATGTTATCAAATCACAAGTCATTCTTACAAAAGTCACAACTCAAACTCACCGTCAACGTTTCATAAATCAAGTGACAAGTCTCAAATCAATTTTTAAAGTCTGTTTGAAGTCATACGTGTAAGTTACACAGTATATTTTATAAAACGTACAGCAGTTAAATTGACTAGTTCACTTCAAACAAAATTCATTTTTCTCTAAAAGTATTTCAGCAAAAGTTGGTAATGTTGACAACCAGGGTTGTCGCCAGCTCAATTTAGTATTAAGTAGCATTTGGGCGAAGCGCAGCGAGAGGAGCCCTCTCGGGTCATGGCCAGGGGTCGAGGGGCCCAATTCAATAGCCCCTAGTGGACTCCAGGGCAACACCCCAGCAGGTAAAAGGAGCTCTGCCACCTAAAGCTCCAGGATTCTGTTTTTTTCAGGGGGGAAATCAGGGTGTTTTGAGGCATGTTATAAAGTGTAATTTGTGTTTATAAAATAGGGAAATTATCAATAAATAAAGATGAAAACAGGATAACACAACTGTCTTATATATATTTCTGTAACAATCATACACAAACATCTTATACAAGGTCATCTGTTCATTATTCTAAATCAGTCATTTACAGTAACCCTAACCCCTAGGATTCCTCCAGAATCCTCCAAATTGGGGGAGGGTTGAAAAAATTGGATTCTCCCTCAATCCTCTGAATTTCTTGAAAATGTTATTTGGAGGTGTGCCTACAGCCTCAATCCTTCAAAATCCTCCAGCAATTCCTGTCATCATGTTGAGGCAGAGTGAATAGCATTTTTGAGCCGTGCATTTGATTCAAAAGAAATATCGGGCTGAATTTATGCATGACTGGGCAAAAACAACACAAGGTACAACCATTGACCTTCACGCATGGCGTCCTTCACAATCAGGCATGCACTTTTGCCATTCACCCTCAATCTTCCAAAACCGGCCAAAGGATTTTGGAGGATTAGGGAGGGTTAATGAAAAGAATTAAGAAAAAATCAGAAGATCTGAAATTTTGTTTTCCAAAAAAATTCACACTTTTTTGTGCCTTAAGATATATTTATCAGTGTACGTTGCTAGCTTTCAGAAGACTGTGCTGTCAAAAACAAAACGTGTTTATTGGCCTTTTACCAGGCAAAGGCAGATATACATCCACTCATCAAAACATCCTGACAATCGGCACGAAAACATGAGCACGCGTACGTATAGTAAGACTATTATCATTTGCCTC